AAACAGGAGTGAAGCAAAGAATGATGATAGCCAAACTCCAGTCTGAAAGGGATGGATACCTAGCGGACATTGCTAACATTCAAGCAGAGGTAACCTTGCTATTATATAAACTTGATAACTTAATCAAAGGGGTTAGAATGTTAAACAATGGATATGATGCGCTGGATGAAATCCTGCAAGAAGTAGAATAAGGCAGAAGACGTAATGGCATAAGGTTTAGCTATCAATCCTTGAAAAAAAAAGGAAAAACTTCTGAGACAAAATTAGTCCCAGCAAGAAGGAAGGAGGAAATCAAGATGTCTGATCAAATGTTACAACATTATGCCATATCACAAAAAGCTCAGACAATAGTCCAAATGCAACCATTGAGAGGTCTTATTTATGGCAGATATGGTCACACATAACAGGTTAGTGATAGGCTTTGTGTATATTACAAAAATTTATCTAAACTCAGTTTGAATCCATCTGTGATCAAAACTAGGAAGTAGTGGAAAGTTAAAGATATTGTCAAGAGTCTCATTGTGCATACTTCTCTGAAAGTCTCATCTAGTGAAGACTGGTATTTTGACAGTGGATGTTCTAGACATATGATAGGTGTGGAGAATCTATTGGTAGATGTTAAACCTCACACAACTAGATATGTGGCCTTTGGAGATGGTGCTAAGGGAGTTATTAAAGGTATTGGAATACTATCTTGTGAAGGATCTCCTAAACTTGATAGAGTTTTATTTGTAAAAGGAATGTCTGCCAACTTAATCAGCATTAGTCAGCTATGTGATCAAGGTCTCAGGGTTCACTTTACAGAATTTGAATGTGTGGTCACTAACAAAAAGAATAATGTTCTAATGAAAGGAGATATATCTAAGGATAATTTCTACTTATGGAAACCTCAAGGAGTTAGTTACACATCCATATGTATGCTGTCCAAAGAAGATGGGGTCGATCCGTGGCACCAAAACTGGGTCATCTACATCTAAGAGTTATGAAGAAGATTGTGTCCATGGAAGCAATCAAAGGGATTCCCAATATCAAAATTGAAGAAAGAAGAGTTTTTGGGGATTGTAAAATTGGGAAGAAAACAAAGATGTCACACCTAAAGCTTCAACATCTAACCACTTCAAAACCATTCAAACTTCTTCATATGGATTTGATGGGTCCTATGCAGGTTGGAAGTCTTGGAGGAAAAATGTATGCTTATGTTATTGTTAATGATTTTTCTAGATACACATGGATAAATTTTATCAAAGAAAAATCAGAAGTTTTTGACATCTTCAAGGACCTGTGTCAAAAACTCCAAAGAGAAAAGGGAAGCAACATTGTTAGGATCAAAAGTGATCATGGTAGGGAATTTGAGAATATCAAATTTGCAGAATTTTCTGCATCTGAAGGTATTAGTCATGAATTCTCATATCCTATCACTCCTCAACATAATGGGATATCGGAAATAAAAAATAGAACCTTGCAAGAATCCATAAGAGTTATGCTTCATGCTAAAAAATTGCCATACCATTTATGGGCAGAAGCCATGAATCTTGCATGCTATATTCATAATAGTTTCACTTTAAGGACTGGTACCTCAAATACTCTATATGAGTTATGAAAAGGGAGGAAGCCTACAGTCAAATACTTTCACGTGTTTCGAAGTAAATGCTATATTTTGGATGACCATGAGCAGAGCATAAAGATGGATTCTAAGAGTGATGAAGGAATATTTTTGGGCTACTCTACAAACAGTAGAGCCTGTAGAATGTTCAACATCAGAACTTAGGTCACGATGAAATTTATAAATGTTGTAATTGATGATTCAACCATACAAAGTATGCTTGAAGATTAAGACAATGTTGGAACATCATCCCAGATGGATAATGAGTCTGAAGATGTGGAGAAAGAATGCATAGAGACTGAGGATGCTAATGCTGAACCAGATAATAATCAAGTTAGTAAGGGTCTGTCTATCAGAATACAAAAAGACCATCCCAAAGAACTTATTATAGGTAACCCTAATCAAGGGGTCATTAATAGATCAAGGGAAATGGTTTCAAAATCTTGCTTTGTCTCAAAGATTGAACCCAAAAATGTAAAGGGAGTTTTAACTGATGAGTTTTGGATCAATGCCATGCAAGACGCATTAAACCAATTTAATAGGAATGAAGTTTGGGATCTGGTTCTAAGACCTGATGAGACAAGTGTCATTGGAACAAGGTGGATCTACAATAATAAAAGTGATGAAAGCGAAGTGGTCACCAGGAATAAATCAAGGCTTGTAGCACAAGTTTACACTCAAATTGAAGGGCTAGACTTTGATGAAACCTTTGCTCTAGTAGCTAGACTTGAATAAATCGGAATACTATTAGGAGTGGCTTGCTTGTTGAAGTTTAAATTATTTCAAATAGACGTGAAAATGCCTTTCTAAATGGGTACATGCATGAAGAGGTTTATGTTGAACAACCCAAGGGGTTTTTTGATCCTATATATCCATATCATGTGTTCAAACTGAAGAAGGGCCTTTATGGGTTAAAGCAAATTCCTAGGGCTTGGTATAAAAGGTTGACATAATTTTTGGTCAACAATGGATACAAAAAGGAGGAATAGACAATACCTTGTTTGTTAGGGAGAAAGATGGAAAACTCATGATAACTCAAATTTATGTTGATGACATAATGTTTGGAGTAATGTCAGATCAAATGGTCCAACATTTTGTTAATCAAATGCAGTTAGAATTTGAGATGAGTTTGGTTGGTGAACTAGCATACTTTCTTGGACTTCAAGTCAAATAAATGGATGATTCTATCTTTATCTCTCAGAGTAATTATGTAAAGAATATATTCAAGAAGTTTGGAATGGAAAATGCTAGTCGCAAAAGGACACCTAGCAACCAAGTAAAAAGGATTTAATGGTACAAGTGACTATGGCATGTTATACTCTCATGGATCAAGTTCCATGCTGGTTACTGTGACGAAGATTGGGCAGGAAGTGCTGGCGACATAAAAAGTACCTCAGGAGGTTGTTTCTTCTTAGGAACTAACCTGATTTCTTGTTTTAGTAAAAAACAAAATTGTGTGTGTTTCTCTACAGCTGAAGCTGAGTATATTATAGCCAGGAGTAGTTGCTTGCAAATGGTATGGATGAAACAAATGCTAAAGGAGTATAATGTCAATCAAGATGTTATGATATTATATTGCGACAATCTTAGTGCTATCAATATTTCTAAAAATCCTATTCATTATAGCAGGACTAAGCACATTGATATTCGTCATCATTTTATCAAAGACCTTGTTGAAGATAAAGTGATTACACTAAAGCATATAGCCACTAAAAGACAATTGGCTGATATTTTCACCAAAGCTTTGGATGCAGATCAGTTTGAGAAGCTTAGGGGTAACCTTGGTGTATGTATTTTTTTGGAACCTTAGGTTCCAAATCTTGTGTGCTTCTATAAAGTGCTTATGTTTGTTTCCATTTGTGTTTAGTTTTGGTTATGTTTGTGTTTCCATGTTTGGTATAATGACTGTGTGCATTATGTGCCTATGGAAACCTATGGTTCCATAGTTCTATGTGCTATGTGTACACTTACTTTACTCTCTTTCTGTCAATATTTTGGCTAAAAAAGGGGAGTAATGTGTTGGGTTCTTTGTGGATGCCTATGCAACTATTTAGGGGGAGCATGATGCTTCGTGCTACTGCTGCTACTGATGTAGTTGTATGTTTAGAATGAGGATGTCTTCACAGATGTTCCAACATCCTGTATATGTGGGCTGAAGCTGCTGCTGCTACTTCTGCTGTTCCACTGCAAGTGCTTTGATGTGGGTTTTATCCTTAAGGGGAAGAATCTATTATGTGTAACAGGGTGATTGCTCTGTCTGTATGTGTAGCTATCGTAACTCTAATATTTATATATTTGTGATGTAGCTTATTTTTATGTGTGGTTTTATTCCTCTCTCTCTCTCTCTCTCTCTCTCTCTCTCTCTCTCTCGAGTTTTTTGTGCTAAAAATGTTTTATCCAAATTTGCCAAAGGAGAGATCATCAATTGATTCTATGAGATTTAAGTTGTTTATATCACACTAATTTATTGCAGGTCGAGTATTTTAAATCTGGAACAAATAACATCTCCAGATGTACACATGTTGCTAAAATTAGTTGATTGAGACTAATTAGGAAACCTTGTGTTTTGTTCCAAGATTCATGGAGATTTTCCTGCGCAAACTTGTTCATCCCCCAACATGGACAACAAGGATTATTTGGGCGCAGCTGCAAGGCCCAAGAGTTGCTGAGCAGTATTTAAAGAAACTACTTAAACCTAATGAAGCAAGAAATATGAAAATTAGGGGAAGCCATATTTTCTCAGTCCTGTGATCTGAGGGTTCTTCAAGAAAGTTTTGTTTTTGTTTGTACATCCTCATGTATCTCTGATACATTTGAGTTGACTGATTCTGCTAGATAGTTTGTCAAGTTATTGTTCTCCTTGAAGTTGTGAAGCAAGAGTTGAGTATTGTTATTGGAGGAAACTTTTAAGAAACTCCTAGTGTTTGATTTGGAAGTGTAATCTTCCTATTTTTATTGTACAAGTTGTTGTGATTGTAACCTAATTTATAAACATCCCTTGTGATTGGGATATGTCTTTTATCACTGCGGTGATTGAAAGTGAGATGGAAATTTCTCATATCTAGGGAGGACCTAGGTAGAAGTTGCACTGGGTAGGGATTATGTGATAAGTTGTAAACGGGGGAGTTTAAGTTTGAACTTGTACTACTGATAATGGATTTCCTTTCTGGCTTGGTAGCCCCCCGAGTAGCCGAGTTTGCACCAAACTGGGTTAACATATCATTATGTTCTTTTATTTCTGCAAGTTTTAAATTCTGCATTGCTATTATCCTGTTTCTCTTCTGTCAACAGATGTTATAACACATGTATTGACATTGTATGTTATTGAGACATCGGTCTTGACTTTTGATATTTTATGTGCATGCTAGAATTTTAGTTTCAACAAAAAAGGTTCGAAATGAAGATCAACATTCCCTCTAGGGATGAGGGTTCTCCAAAACGAACTCGTTTCCCCGAGGGTGGTGCTTTTGTAGAGGTAACTCCCTCCATGAGGAGGCTGAATGTATTCTCTTCTTAGCTTGCTCTCACTTTTAAGGAGGATGTTAATACCGCTTCAATGTCATATTTATCCTTCATCCAGAATCTCCGTGAGGAGGATATAATATTATTTTCGACGTCAACTTTAATATTCTCCCGTATCTCTGTTTGTCAAGGAGACGTCTTGGCTCCAGGGTAATCCCACAAAAGAAAGGGATTCATGGAAAGGGAAATGCGAAGACACAAAACTGATATGTTCTACTCTTCAGAAGGAGCTTTTTACCCTACAAGAGGAGGTTAAAGCTGCCAATTATTTGTAAGAGGAGATGGAAGTAGACAACCCTTCTTCTACTCTAGCTGCTCGATTGAATAAACTGGAGGATACCCTCAAAGAAGCACATAAGCGGTATCAGGATGCTTCTAATTATATTGAAGAAAAGATTTCTAGGTGGATGAGCATCATAAAGCTATCCTTCAAATATCTATGTTCATGCCAAGGTTTTGAAATCTCTTCAAGATGAGGTGGCTGACCTGAGGCAGACACTCCATGATTCCCTTCAATGGAGTATGCAGGTTAGGCTCAGAGGTCGTGCAAGAGTTATGAACATGCAATTATGTTATTTTCTAATGCCATTATTTCGGTCGAGATGCTTGACCCATTTCAATCTGCTCCTGGGGTGACTCAGAAGGGTGACCTCAGTACCTCAGCTCCAGGAGCTTCAACTTGATTTTTCTTTTTCCTTGTATTATTTTATTTCCCACACTGCTTCCCAGACTTTTGTGTCTTGGGTGTAACAATATTTAATTTTTAATGGATATATTTTTACCTTGATGATTCAAGTGTTATTCACTTTAGAGTTTTGAGCTTGCCTTTGCTTTATTATTGTTGATGTTTATGAACTGTTATAACTTCGATGCTTGTTCTTTTACCCTGCGAAGTTTGTATGTTTAGGTCAGAACATCGACTTCTATCAGCTATAGTGGGATATTTGTTTTGGGTGTTGTTCTAGGTTGGTCCAATGGCTAAGCAGGGCCCAATCCACTCCTGCATTTAGGACGACCCAATAACCTTGGCCCAATAAGCCATAATGAATAAGGGGCACTTTTCCCTTCCACCCCTCACTCGAGGAGCCTAGTCGGTTGACCCCCAGGGTCTGTAAGGTCACTTCTACCCGCTTAAACAGGCTAGTCCTCATCCTGCCAAGCTACACGAGGATAGCCACCCGGGAACAACCAGGAATCATGCTTGCCTGTGAAACACTTCTCTACTCATTGTAACTGTTAAATCTGAGCATCTCTGCCTATTATAATGGCTAGTTTCTAAAAGCTACCTATTTTTGAGGAACCTGATATCTAGGCTTAAAATTAGGAACCAATGACCAAGCGCCAGGGGCACTATATAAACCCTCACACTTGTGAGGGCCAGGTATTCAATATTCACTATAAAACCCTAAACTTTCTCTTGTATCTCTTTGCACTCTTACTTACTTGAGCGTCAGAGTGTCTTGAAGGTACACCCCCTCATCCTTGATTCTAGATTTGCAGACGTCATCTATCAGCCCATTATAGGTTCTGATCAACCGGTAACAAAAGGTGTGAAAACCCTTACTGCTTGCTTTATGAAGAAAACAATGCATTTTATTATAATGAAGTGGCATAAGTGCCCCTTGAATTTTCCTTCTTTTGTGACTTGCAATCTTAGTGCACAAAATGATGTTAGCTACCCTTTTTAGTTGTTGTACTTGCTTGCTATATTTAGAGTTTGATGTGGTAGTGTATTGATTCATGCACCGCGTTGTGTAAATTGTAGCACCCCGAATTTTAGATTAATTATTTAATTAATTAATTTAGTATGATTATATGAGTCTATGTGAAGTAGATGGTGTTTTGATGTTTTGATGCTTATTTATGATGTTTTGGTGTCTTATGTGAGTCCTTGTGACGGTATATGATGTGTATTCGTGATGCAATTATGATGCAGATAGTGATGATTTGATGAATAAGGTTTTTAAGATGATGAGTTGTGTGGTGTAGGATGAGTTAGTAAGAAGGTTTGGAATTTAAATAATTATTGGAATTATTTAGATTTAATAGTGATTAATTGGAATTATTTGGATTTAAGTAATTAGAATAATAGAATGATAGAAGTGTAGAGAAAATAAGGACAAGATAGTAATTAGTAGAAAGAGTGAGGGCATGATGGTAAAATGATATTTATAATTTTAGTGATTAAATAATTAATTAAAGAGAATAAGGGCATTTTTGGGATATAGGTATTAGGGGTCTAAATTGTGTTATAAGAAAAACAAGAGTGAGAGTATGACAAAACATATCGTAGAACGAGAAAGGCAAAGAGAAGGGAAAAACTAGGGCAAGAGGATTCCGCAGCTTTGGAAAGATCAAAGCTTTGTATTAAGGTAAGGGGGGTGAATGGATTCTCTAATTGGTGATCTTACATGAGAGGATAGTGAGGGTTCCTTTCCCTCTTAGATTTTTTTATATGATTGATGTATAATTTGTTTGGTTTGACTGAATTGATGTGTTGTATATGATTATACATGGATCTGTGATGCTATGTTGTGATTTGCGTTGTTGTGATGATTGTTGCACAAAACCCCAATCTAGAACCTATGAGTAATGAGAACTAGGATTTGAGGATTTTGGATGAGGATTTTATGAAATATAAGATGAATAATAATATCCAAATGATGTATAATTGATGTAGAAACATAAGATGATAATGGATGATAAATCTCTATGATTAGATGATGTTTTAGGACCTATAAGGTAGTGAAATTGCAGAAAAATCGCAGAAAATTCAGCACAAAACAACATGCATCGACTCAAAGAGGTTATGCGTCGACTCATGCAGGTTCAAGACTCAGTATTCGTCGACTCATTGGGTCGACCTGAGCACACTCGTGGAAGATAAAATACCTATGCGTCCACTCAAAGGGGGCATGCGTCGACTCAAGTAATCCAATTTTTGACAGATTTTTCTAAAGGCCGTAACTTTTGAACCGTAACTCCGTTTGATGCACCGTTTGAAGCGTTGGATAGATAAAACCATAAAATTGAAGTAGGCAGAATAAAATAAATATTTATAAGGATAATTCTAGTAACTAAGTTAAAATAGGAATTGTTCCCCGTTGTTACACCGAAACAGTTGGTTGTTTTCTTGCAATGTTCTTTTGCCGATGATGCCGATATGGGGCAATGTTGGTGATTATGATGAGGATGATGCAGATGGATTAAATTGACATGGTGATGAAGGATTATGCCTTGTGTTTGTATGATTTCACGTTGTTACATGTTCATATTGCATGCATTCATGGATGAGGGCTTATGCCCTAATGTTGGCCTGGATTGGCATTGTGTTGAGGGCTTATGCTCTATTATTGCCCAATTGAAATTGACTTGAAGGCTTATGCCTTGATGATACCACATGCATGTTAATGTAGGACTATTGCATAAATACTGAATTGATGTTGTATGATGTGATTATGGTTGTTTGTGATGAATTTTCTGTATGTTGCGATTTATTACTCCTTAGCATGTTTTATTTCACTGTGTAATTATTGAATGAAATTCTCAGTCCTTTTGTGTTGGTGTGTCTGTACTCTTCGGGAGTACAGATAATCAGGTACCGAGTAGTGCTCGAAGTGATATTATCAGATCGAGTCTTAGGAGTTGCTCTAAGTGAAAATTTCTTTTAAACTTATGATGGACCACATATTGTGGATTTGAATTGTTGTTAAGGCTAGAATGCTAATGAACTACTTTTATGTTGATTTTATGCTTCCGAATAACCATTTTTGGATACACGAAGTAATAAAGTATTTTGAGAAATTTATGGATTTTATGATTTATGTGGCATCCCATTGTGAACTCTGATGCATTTGTTGTATATTTCATTATAAATATTCATATGGGAAAATAGGGTGTTACACGAATTCCCTATGTTCCCTAGGACGAGGCCCGAGATCAGAAAAATTAGTGTGATATGGTCGTATACTTGTATTGTTCCATGTCCACAGAGGACCGTTCCCTAGAAAAAGGTAGGATCCCCTTCCCTACCCTCGAGACTTGGATCAGACCGAGGTTGACCTCTATGGGATCTACCACCTACGCCCTTGTATTGGATAGATTCAAAGGGACAAAAGGTGCGCCAGCTACGCAGAAGTGCATGTAGTATGCCTCAGATGAGAATTCACACGAGGTATGCATTTCAGCAATATCAGAATCACAAAAATGAGTTTATTCTATATCAGATATGCAATCAGGCATGAAATGCGTTTAAGCCATATAAGAATCACATAAATGCATTAAGTCTGTATAAGATACACAATCATGCAAACAATGCATTTAAATCATATAATTGCATAAATACGTTAAGTATGTGTTGGATACATAATCACGCTAACAATGCATTTAAGCCATATCAGAGTTGCAGAAATGCATTAATTCTGTATCAGATACACAATTATGCATTTCATCTTTACTGCCCCTATCTTGAGCACCCTAGTAAAAATAAAGACATATAATTATACAACAGAGGAAGAAAAAGGATATATATATATATATATATATATAGGAAAAATAGTATTTTTCGTCCCATATCTTTAGGTCAAAGTTCATTTTGGTCCCTCGATTTTAAAAATCACCATTTTGATCCCCCAATTTTATTAAACGTTTCAAGTTTATCCTTTCTAGTCATTTTCATTAAATGTTGTTAAATATTGTTGTACTATGCTCTGTGTCATAGAGGACCGTTCTCCGATAAAAGGTAGGATTCCCGTCCCTACTCCGAGGCTTGTCTTAGATCTAGGTGGGTGTCTTTGGGCTCCATCACATATGCCCTTAGACTGGCTAGACCCGAGGGGGGTGGGGTATGTCAGCTAAACATAAGTACGTGTAGTTTGCCTCCAAAAAGAAGTCAAGAGAGGTATGTGTTTCAGTCATATTAAAATTGCAAAAATGCGTTTAGTCTGTATCAGATACGCAATCGGGTAAGGAATGTGTTTAATCTATGTCAGAATCGTAGAAATGCGTTAAGTCTGTATCAGATACATAATCATGCAAACAATGCATTTAAGATGTATTAGAACCACATAAATACGTTAAGTATGTATCAGTTACACAATCATGCAAACAATGTGTTTAAGCCATATCAGAGTCACATAAATGCATTAAGTCTGTATTAGATACACATTTATGTATTTCATCTTTACTGCCCCTGTCTTGAGCACTCTAGAAAAAATAAACACAGAGAAACATATAACGGAGGAAGAAAAATGATATATAAGCAAAATAGCCTATTTTCATCCTGTATCTATAGGCCGAGGTTTATTTTGGTCCCTAAATTTTAAAAACTACCATTTGGCCCCACAACTTTATTAAATGTTTTAGGTTATCCTTTCTAGTCATTTTCTTTAAACACTATTGAATATTTTAACGTTTGTGTCCATGTCAGCTCCACGTGGGATCACATTGTCTTCTTCGTTATGCTGCTATAAACTCCAAAAGCCTTATTCTTCTCCCAATTAGGTCTCTTCATATTTCCATATTATTCTTGAAATTAGGGTTCTACTACCTTCTTCATTTTGCTTTCTTCTTCGTGAAAGTTCCTAATCTGCAACCTTCATCGCAAACTCCTTTTTCAACCTTGTTCTTCATTCTGAAGACAAATGATCAAATGACGTTAATATAATGGGTTTTTGAGATGGATTGGACCTTAGTAATTTTATTTTGGACTTTGGCCGACCCATAATAATTTACATGACATAAATGAACTGGAAATTATGTTGGGAAATGAGTTTGACATGAAAGACTAAGGTGCTGCTAAGAAGATTCTTGGTAAGGAAATTCACAGGGATAATAGTGATTGAAATTTATGGCTCTCTCATAAAAGTTATGTTGAAAATGTGCTAGACAAGTTTAACATGAGTAATTTAAAGGTTGTGAGTACTCTATTGGTGAATTACTTTAAGCTCTCATCGGATAAGTTTCTAAAGACAGATGCATAAAATGAGTATATGTCAAATGTTCCTTATGCCATTGACGTTGGTTGTTCAATGTATAATATGGTCTACATTAGGATGAATTTGGCCCAAGTTGTAAGTCAAGTATGTAAGTTTATGTACAAATCGTACAAGCATCACTAAGAAGCGGTGTAGTGAATTTTCAAGTACTTAAAGGGTAAAACGTGTCATGTTATCATATTTAGCAATGAACACGAATGTCCTTTAGTTGTAGGATATATTAATTCAAACTATACTAGTGATAGGATAATGAAAGGTATATAATATGTTACCTCTTTACTTTAGTAAAATGACCTATTTGTTGGAAATAATCGATTCAATCTATAATGACCATGTTGACAATTGAAGCATAGTACATGGAGGCAATTGAAGTTGACAAAAAAATAATGGCTTACATGATATGTGAGAGAATTGGGTGTTGAGCAAGGTGAAATTCAGTTGCATTATTTATTTGGTAAACAATCATGTGTATATCATGTCTGGGCCAATCATATTGATGTGACGTTTCACAAGATCAATGAATTAGTTGTATCTAGGCATATGTTACTTGAAAAGGTTCATACTTAAGAGAATGTAGTTGATATGTTGATCAAGCTAGTAATCACTGACAAGTTCAAACATTGCTTAGATTTGTTACATGTTTCTCAGTGTTAAGCAATAGGTGTACCTCTTTAGTTGTCAGAATGTGATTGTCATGCATGAAATTTTCACATGAGTTTGATATTCGCCAAGGTAGAAATTGTCGAGTATAACTCATATATATGTAGACACTGAAGAGAAGCATATACAATTCAGAGTTATTATTGTAAACTAAGTCATAGTATTATACTTCCTCCATTTTCATTTAAAAACAATTTTTAACTTTTTAAATTCATTGAATAAATGATGTATTTGGACTATATATAAACTAGATACATCAATTATTTAATGAATCTAAAAAGTTAAAACTTATTTATAAAAGAGAATAGAAAGAGTATATATTACATGTAACACTATAATCCTATGTAGCACAAAAATAAAAAAATTATATATATACTATAATCATAAAGGTAGATATCATTGAAAAAACTTAAAAATATATTATATTTATGGTTTTTTAATTTTTACTTTTAATCTTTTATACTTGTTGCTGTTCTAATCTTCACCTTAATCATTTCAATTTTTCCTCAGAGTATATCAATTAAACCACTCACCATTTATATTTATAGGCCAAACTCAATAGTACCGAATTTAAAAAAGTGTATTGAGAAAGCAAGAGTATGAATTCTCTCATGCTAAATGCACTTCTGCTATCCTGCTACCCATGATCCAATAACTTCAAAGTTTTGAAATAATATAATAAAAATAGAAACATTGTCTTAACAAAAAAAGAGTGATGGAGACTACGGGAGAGGATCCCGATCCAGAAAGCAAAGACCTATATATCAATTTAGCTTAGAAACCATTTTAAAAAGTGTTTATAAAGAGCTAACACCTCCACACCTTATAAATTAATTTTACAAGGATTCAATTAAGATTAATATAAAGTCTAACACATGCAATTATTGTACAATTTTGATGATCAATTTTATGATTAACAAATTAATATATTGTTATTCCTCACACAATATACTTGAATGATCGAATCTCAAAAAGATTTTCAAATATAACATTACTCTGTTGGATTACTAATTTAATTTGATATAATAAACTTGTGTCTCTTTCCCCATATCTTCATTCTTGTCTAACGTGAGATCCATTGTGAACTTTAGTGGCATGCAATATTTTTTGAAAATCGTTGTTAACTTCAAATAGTGTAATTATTTTAGATTAACAAATTATTATATTGTCGAGGTGGCAAGTGAGTATTTTGAGCTTAGTGGCAAGCATGCTTTTAGTCTTTATGTTTATGGGAACATGTTAAGATCACTTTGGAGCCTCCAAGTGGAAGTTGTTCATGCCTTCACCATAATCTTTTCAACTGTTTGACTTACCAAAAAGAGGGGAAGAAAGGGGACAAGGACTAGCTACCCTAAACTCTATCTAACCCTAATGTCTTTTCTTGTTTTATCTATTTTATTTGCTGATTCTATATTCCTTAGCGTGGCCTCGAGATTATTTGCTGACTTGGATATTCAACAAAATGTATAGTTTTTTTTGGCTTTTTCTAGGTGTAGGGTTGCTATGATTTCACAATAATTATTCCAAGAAAAAAATATTTAATAATATACTATTTGATTTTTCATTTAAAATTTAGTCTTTAAATATTTTATTTGATATATTTAAACAGATCATAATATATATTAGTCTGTTTGGATTTGTGGCGAAAATGACTGACATGCATTTTAAAATAAAATTATACATTGTAGTTTGTTTTCACAAATATATTTTGATATATAGTTGATAGGAGAAAAATATTTAAATATAATAAATAATTTTCAAAATCGTTTTTAGTAAAATGATCAAACATAAAAAAAAATTATTCCAACTTTAAAAAAAAAATAATTTTGTTATAAAAGAACTAACGGTGCAACTTATTGTTAATAATTTATTTATGATTATATTCTTCTCATAAGAAAATTCAAAAAAATCATAAAACAATAATTCTAAGCCATTTAAAGAGTTAAGGACCGTATATGTTAGAATTCAGAATGTTTAGGTGATTTTGTTTTTGGTACATAATCCAAATTGAAAGCTTGTCTGCTTCCAAACGACAGCTATAGGAGTGGTCATTCAGTTGAAAAATTAAGGGCATTACCAATTAAATTTCAAAGGTATATAGTCATTATCATACCAAATTGTTTAAAATATTCTTTACAAAAACTTATCAAACAGCTTCCAAATCCCAAAACAATATGGACATGTAATATATTAATCCAACTTGCTTAATCAAAAGCTTACCAACTTTTTCTTACACATATAAATAGAATCTCATAGCTTGCAAACTATATCATAAAAAATTGAAGTAATAGTAACTCACTTTCTTCATATTTTCCACTCAAATACTAATTCTAGAAAAAACTTTGTGATGGAGATTCATTTTCAGCAACCAAACATGCAACAAAATCAGAAATCAATTTCAGTGAACAAAGGAGGAAAGTTCAAAGGAAGAAACAGAAACAGCAATAACACAAACAAATTTGTTGGTGTGAGACAAAGGCCATCAGGTAGATGGGTTGCTGAGATCAAAGACACAACTCAGAAGATAAGAATGTGGCTTGGAACATTTGAGACAGCTGAGGAAGCAGCTCGAGCTTACGATGAAGCCGCGTGTCTTCTTCGAGGTTCGAACACTCGAACCAACTTCATCACTCATGTCTCATTGGATTCTCCTCTTGCTTCTAGGATAAGAAATCTTCTTAACAACAGAAAAGGCGAGAAAAAACAGGAAGATAGCGCTGTTGCTTCTGCTCCAAGTAACATCAACACTACTAGTAACACTAGTAATACTGATACAAATACAATTACAAGCAATGATGATAACAAGGAGAATTCTCTTTCGAGTGAGGCTACTCCGAATAAAGAACTTTTTGAGGATGGTTATAAACCAGAATTGAGCAATTGCAAGGTGGATTTTGAGTCAGGTTCACAATCCAATTTTTCATGGGGATTTGGACCTGTTTTTGATCATTTTCCATTTGCTCAATTCTTGGATATTACGAAGAACAACGATGGAATGATCGATGCGTCTAGCTTGGAGCTTTCGGAATTTGAAAGAATGAAAGTTGAAAGACAGATATCAGCTTCACTTTATGCTATTAATGGAGTGCATGAGTACATGGAAGCTGTTCATGACTCCAATGAAACTTTATGGGATCTTCCACCTTTGTGCCCATTATTCTGTTGAAGTTCTATAAGCTCTAAATTAATGATGATGTTGCAGCCCTATTTTTTCTTCTTCTTACCGTTGTTGAAAACTCGAGGGAAGTGTGTTGAATGTAAGACGGATTGAACTAGTACAATAACATAGAGATATAATTGTGTTTTCTTTACAAACTAGTGTGAAACAGGGTCCTAATCGCAGTTACATTACAATCTTTGATATTATAGAGTCATAGTAAGACCTGTTTGATGCAACCACATTCGTGATTGTGTTGATACAAGCCTTGATTGCGGTTATGCCTACTGTGACAAAATAAGCAATCTGGAATCTTGGAGCTAAAATCAAAATGGTTATTCGCGATGCGTATCATGGATATTTACGATAAAATTACTATGCTTTCTTTATTATTGATTAATTTTAAAAGACTATCATATCTTATAAGATACTGGTCCAATGATTCTGCATAATTCTCTGCCTTTTGGTTATCAGCATAAGCCATGATATCTCAATCAAATATATGTCTACATAACATAATTGATTAACTACAAAATCCTTAACTTAGATCTAGATTAAGTGATAGGACTGAGAATCTGAGATTAAATTACTTTTTACATCCAAAGATATGGTAACATTTTGCTTATAGTTCAATGGCATCACTTTCATTTCACATATCTTGTGGACCTAGAAAGTAGAAACTCACTCTTAAATATTCTCTTTTTCTTCATTCTTATCCTCTCCCTTCTCTCCCACATGGCTCATGAAGACTATATTGAGACTTAGCTATAACAAAAAGCACTCTAAAACAAAAGGCTTTTGATGCTATTCAAAGTTGTCAAGTTCTAAGAGTGTGTTTAGGCTAAAAGCTTGCATCATCCAATTTTGCTTGTGTATAAAAGTTGCGATTAGTGTAAGGTATCATATAATTAGGTGGACAGCTAGCACCACCATCTATGGTTTTGTTGAAGCACATGAGCTGTGATTTTTCTATATATTGAATGATTCAAAGATAGGCCTTATAATAGTTTCACCAAACTTTATCCTAAGTCTATCTACTCTTGGAAGAAAATATTACTAGCAATCTCTGTAGCACTGACACCTCTGAAAAAAGGTGCGTCTGTGTCTGAAACTGATCAAATAAGTTGTATCAACATTTTTTTTAACATGTAACATTCAGAATTACAGAGATTGCACACAACAGAAAGATTATTGAACAATGACAATACTTAATACACAACCAGGGATACAATACAAGAGACAGAAACAAGAAGGGAGGTGTAGATATCTGTTGAATGATTGATGAAATCTTTTAGTAGTCATCAACATCATCATCATCACCAACTTCACCTTCTGCTCCAACTTCTTCATAATCCTTTTCAAGAGCAGCAAGATCTTCTCTAGCTTCTGAAAATTCACCCTCTTCCATTCCTTCACCTACATACCAATGTACAAACGCCCTTTTTGCATACATGAGATCAAATTTATGATCGATTCGAGCAAAAACCTCGGCTACAGCTGTGTTGTTGCTTATCATACAAACCGCACGCATCACCTTGGCAAGATCACCTCCCGGTACCACTGTTGGAGGCTGGTAGTTTATACCACACTTGAAACCAGTTGGACACCTGAAAATTAGTCACAAAAATCAGTCATTTGCAAGGAGCATAATCTAAACTATGACTCATAATGTGATATTCCAATGAAGTCTAATTACCAGTCAACAAACTGAACTGTTCTCTTTGTTTTGATATTCGAAACAGCTGCGTTTACATCTTTAGGCACAACGTCTCCGCGATACATGAGGCAGCACGCCATGTACTTTCCGTGTCTCGGATCACACTTAGCCATCATACTTGACGGTTCAAAAACTGCGTTGGTGATCTCAGGAACTGATATCTGCTCATGGTAGGCCTTTGCTGCCGATATTACAGGCGCGTAAGAGGAAAGCATGAAATGGATTCGAGGATAAGGAACCAAGTTAGTTTGGAACTCGGTAACGTCAACATTGATCGCACCGTCAAATCTCAAGGAAGTTGTCAATGAAGAGATAATTTGAGAAATCAAACGGTTCAAGTTAGTATAAGTTGGCCTTTCTATATCTAACGATTTTTTGCATATATCGTATATTGCTTCATTGTCCAAAAGTACAACCACATCAGTGTGCTCAAGAAGAGAATGAGTGGAAAGAACACTGTTATAAGGTTCAACAACTGCAGTAGATACCTGCATGATGATAAATGGTATTAATTATCATAGAATGATTAACTAATACACTTTGCGCGCGTGCAGGCATGCACATTCACAAAAATATGAAACTAATACCTGAGGAGAAGGATAGATAGTATAACCAAGTTTAGACTTTTTGCCATAATCTACAGACAATCTTTCCAAAAGCAATGATCCCAAACCTGAGCCAGTACCTCCACCAACAGCATTGAAAACGAAGAATCCTTGTAAACCAGTGCAATTGTCTGCTAATTTTCTGATACGCTCGAGGCATAGTTCAACGACTTCTCTTCCAACTACATCACAAATAATGGCCAATGTCAAACTAAAAAGTGAAGAAAATAGCTAATTTGAACGCATTGGAAATTGGCTTACCAGTGTAATGTCCTCTAGCAAAATTATTAGCAGCATCTTCCTTACCAGAAAGTAATTGCTCAGGGTGAAAGAGTTGTCTGTAAAGACCAGTTCTTACTTCATCAATAACACTAGGTTCAAGATCAACAAATAAGGCCCTTGGCACATGCTTGCCCGATCCCGTCTCGCTGAAAAACGTGTCGAAAGCAACGCGCGCTACGCCAGGTGAGGTATCACTGCAATGCAAGTAGATAAAAAAAATCAGAACTAGTTGTGCCTAAGCCTGATCAACCATATATCAGCATCGTCTTAAGTTTTCAGACGCCCTGTGCGGGGTTAACCACGGCTTAAGTGTGGAAAATGAAATAGGGATCCTATTTTTCAATGGTTTAATTTGACAAATATTTTATGAGCCCTTTTAGACCCGGTTTAACTGTGTCAAATTTTGGACCCTGTGCGATAATTCACATTGCACGTCCTCAAAGACGGCCGCCCTGTATTAGTTAACGAGTGTATCCAATATCAAGAAAAAGTAACATAAGAATCCCTTAATTCTGTTAATGTGATCGAAATTTCAATTCAATAATATCAGTTCTAACTTACCCCACTTTTGTTACTTATTCTTCATTATTGAAAATGAGTTCATAGAATCTCTTATCTCAATTCGGATTATTAACTTAAGAGCTATTTTTGTATCCTTTTGAGCTTTCTTACAACAGAAGAAAAAAAGGTCAAACCAATTTCATAATAATAAACAAACACAATCCATTAGAAAATTCATGTAAACAAGTATTAAAAAAAAAACATTGATCATATAATAGAAAAGTTGTACCTAGGCATCAAACCATCAGGTTGAATTCCATGTTCAAGACAATAAAGCTCCCAACAAGAATTCCCCACTTGAATTCCAGCTTGTCCAATATGAATACTTATTATCTCTCTCATCTTTTCTATGCTGCAAATGAAAATCACAAGAAAGAGGAAAGTGCAAAAAAACAGCAAAGAAGAATCTTTGGTATTTTCTTTAGAGTTTATAACATGATTATGACAGAAACTCTCAATAAGTGAAGGAAGGCTAAAAAAGTCAAATGGTTACATGCTTTTAATTAATTTAACAGTTAATGAAAATATTAAAATAATTAACAAAGTTTTGTTTTAATTAGTAGTAATAACTAATAAGTAGTATGTGGGGGTTGAAAAGGGACCATGCTTCTCTAACTTTTCTGTGGGTGCACACATCCCTGTCTAGTTTGCTGTTATTTCATGTCATGACTCATACCATATCAAAGGGACATCATGACATATATCTCTTCTTCTTCATTTCTGAAATATCTAAATTCAATATGAATTCATTAACTATGCGACTGCTATTATTGTGAAGACTAGATTTTAGTCAAGGAGAATTGCGATGTTCAGGCCTAATGTTTGTAATCATTGATTTATTACATTGCAGTGCTTTATAATGTGCTTACTTATAATTAATGATGAATTAAGTGTGATATTAGATCGATTACAAATAAAGTAAATGTTGAATTTATAAAAGAGATGACTCATATTTTCATTCTCTTACCATTTTTTAAAGTCTATGCTAGTTGATATTAACGGGACAATAAGAGAATGAATCAAGGAAAAGGAAAAGGGGGACAATTCTTCAGTGTGGATGAATCAAGAAACGTTGGACACCACCTCTACTTCCTTCTTTAAGGGCGGTTTTGATCGAGCTTTCATTGAGATGGAGCCACCATCTGAACAAGAAATGTTTATTCATGAGGAATATAAAAGGGTGTGTAGAGAACATGATGGATGCATCATCCCTCTTTATGAGTGTCTGCTTTATTTAATAGGTTTATGTCTCCCTTTCAACAAAGTCGAGGTTGGCGTTCTTAATCATATGTTAAATTCCCTTTTGAAAATATGTAACACCCGACGCCGAAGAGGGCGGGTAGTAGTCACCGAATTCACATTGTAATAAAAGGAATCCAGAGGCTGTGTGAAGAAGGGACTACATGGTTAAAGGAAGGATTATAAGGATTAATTGATACTACCCGTTGTACCCCAAAATTTTCTCTCTCATTTATCAAGTAATCTCTCACAAGATCTCCTTTGGTTCAAGACTGCATTAGGGTTGATCAGTTCAAGACACCTCCTCAAGCACTAATGATTGAAAATTAGGGTTTGAGATTGCACAAGGATAATTGAACTTTTAATGCCCCATATTAATTTCATGGATTATTTTGGACCCTTAATATTTCTCATGTCAAGTTTCAAGTTTTGGATCACATTTTTGCCCAGTCAATTGATCAGTTGACCTAAAAATCAACTGTATTAGGGAAAAAGTCAACTGTGGTCAATTTACAGTCAAAATTCATAATTTTTTATCCATATCAATGTTAAGAACTCATATATGTCATTTGATCAAGTTTGGACCATAATTCCTCAAGAAATTT